GGTAAGTCCCTTCCCCTTTCTGAGGTTGAGTTTCTTTAGCTAGAACATGGGGTTGGCGATAGCTACCGCTGATGAAACAAGGTTGGTTTGGAATTCAGATGCTTTCGTTTAAATAAGACAGGATTGACCAATTTAAAATACCAATGTTATAAGGAAAATACTCTAACAGATGCAGTAAATGTCTTGGCACAAAGTGATGCTAGAGTTAGCGGGAGGCTGAGTGACCAAGGGTCAAGAGAAGGGTCTCAGTAAAGACACAGCCTGAGAAGGTAGGCTCAGGGGACCCAAGCCTGGAAGAGAATGAGGCATTGTCATCCTGAAAGATACACAAGCTGCAGCCCCTCTCCTTTAAAAGCTAACCCCTGAGGCCACCGATGGGAAGCAAGATGGGATTGCAGGGCGGTCAGCAGAGCACTGGTTGGGGCTTGCCTGGCAGCTCAAACAGCCTGTATCTTTGGCTATGTGTGAGGACAGCCTGGTCTTTTAGAAAGAGCTTAGTTAGCCCATTCAGGCCAACGTCATCATGGTCCATTCAGAACTTTGATTCCCCAAACCCTGTCTGATGTGTTCCCTTAAAACCCTGGTCTTAAAGCTGGTCCCTGTGGTTTTGGTATCCTGGTGACTGACACAGCAAATTCAACTCCACTTTTACCCAAATCCTCATTACTTCTTCTCTTTGCAGGATGCACCTTAGGGAGGGAAGATCTTTCTTCAAATTCAAGGTGATAAAGCTAAGAGGGGCCAGTGCTATCAAAAAAAAAAAAAAAAAAAAAAAAAAAAAAAAAAAAAAAAAAAAAAAAAAGGCCTAGATTTATATCCCAGCTCTGTCAGTAAATTATAAGGTACTTAGGAACCCAAGTGCTGTGTTAGGCTCTTTTAATGTATTATCTAATGTAATGCTTTTAATCCTCCAAGGATAATTACCAACCCCCTCTAAAAAATAGAAGAAAAGGAGGCTAAATCAACTCAAGTAATTTGCCCAGAGTCACAATAAATGCCCTTCTATTACTGATGCTAACCATCCATGACTCCCTAAGACCAGAAGAAGGAAATCCAGTATGAGGATCAAAGAAAGGCTTAGCTCACATGGAAAGTCCTTAGCTCACTACCTGACACGTGGTTAATTCCCAGCAAATGATACCTGGTATTAGTAATAGAACTGAATTAAAAGAACCTTTAAAGGATCACATACAGTATGTGGATTCCATGGACTTGTGCACGTGGAAGCACGTGGTGTTAGAAGACATTTGGACAAGCGTGAAGGTCAGGAACTGTGCAGGACTACCAACAGTGTGACTGAAGCTGTTCATTATGTGCCATCTTAAGTGAGATAAGACAAGAACACAATTAAAAGCTACGTAAATAGTAAAATATGCAAATAAAACAGAAAAAATTTTTAATTCCTAAATTTTCTCTTTGACTAACTTCATTATTCCTAGGCATGTACCCTGTCCTTATACACCATGTTTCAGCATCAGAATTATGTTCCTGTCCCTTTCCACAATCAGGCCACAACCAGGCCAGCACTATCTTTCTTAGTTTTGGAAATAAGACCGTGGCTTCAGTCCTTGACCTTATTGGGTATATGTGCTCAGCCAAGCGGCTCAACATTCATGTTGCTACCTACAGAATGGGAGAATTTTTTGGTAAATCTGATAAGGGATTTGTGTCTAAAGTAGGTAAGGAAATTTTATAACTCAATAGTGAAGAGACAAATAACCCAATTGAAAAATGAGCCGAAAATCGGAATAACATTTATCCAAAGAAGATATACAAATGGCCAATAAACACATGGAAAGATGCTCAACATCATTAGCCATCAGGGAAATGCAAACCAAAACCACAATGAGAACCACTTCACACTCACTAGGATGGCTACAAAAAGACAGAGAATAAAAAGCGTTGGGGAGAATGTGGAGAAATGCCATCCTCATACACTGCTGATGGGACTGTAAAACAGTGCAGCAGCCTCTTTGGAAAACAATCTTGTAGTTCCTTAAAAAGTGAAACATTAGAATTGCCGTATGAGCCGGCAGTTCCAGTCCTAGGTATATACCCAAGAGAAGTGAAAACATATGTTCACATAAAAACCTGCACAGGAATGTTCATAGTAGCATTATTTGTAATAGCTGGAAGATAAAAACAACACAAATGTGCATTAACAGATGAATGTATAAATAAAAGGTGCTATATCCATACAATGAAATATTATTCAGAAATAAAAATAACAAAGTACTGCTATATACTACAAAATGGAAAAATTTGAAAACATTACACTAAGGGAAGAAGACAGGTACAAAGGGCCAAATGTTGTATGATTCCATTTCTATGAAATGTCCAGAATAGGCAAATCTATGGAGATAGTAGCTTGGTGGTTGCCTAGGGATGAGGACGGGGTCATGAGGTCGGGGGAAATGATGACTGACTGTGAACGGGTATAGGATTTCTTTTCGAAGTGACGAAATAGCCTAAAATTGATTGTGGTGATGGTTGCAAAGCTCTGTGAATATACTAAAAGCAACCAAATTGTGTGATTAAGTAGGTGAATTATATCTCAATAAAAGTATGATTTTTAAAAAATCCTATGCTTCCCAGGCAGCTGGCATTCATTGCAACTGGACTGTGGTGTGGATTGTGCCATGGAGGGCAATGTGGTGTTGTCAGTAGTTAAAAGTATCAGTTCTGGAAACAGATTCACCTGGGTTCCAACACTGCTCTGCCTTTTATTGACCGCATAACTTCAGGCAACTCTGTGAGCCTTAATTTTGTCATCCATAGGATACTTGTTTTAATACAGCCTTATATGACTTTGAGTAGATTCCGTGGGATGATGCAGATGGGGTGAAGGGCTTAGCATAGTACCTGGCATTTTATGAGTGCTCCATAGTAAGCAGTTGACTTCATCTCCTTCATCCTCAACACCTCCATCCATGGTCAAACCAATTTACCAGCGCTCTCTCTGATGTGACCTTGGAAATTTCACTTACAAAGTAAGTGATTTATTCAGTAGTATATTATTTCTGTCTTCATCCCTTTCCTCTGCTTTGTCCCACCCAAGCAGAGTAGTAATCGGAAATATCACCATTATATTCTTATCTCCATCAACTTTAAAAGAGGAATAACAGTTGTCCTAGTTTAGGGAAGCAAATGAGACAGCTGTGGAAGGATGCTCTGAGCCCACTTTACCTGGCTTTGGAGTTGACGTCATTGGACGTGGAGTGAAATGGTAGTTTTTCAGGCATAGAGGAGGAGCTTAGGTTCCTTCCCATGGAAAGAGCAATTGCCCAATGTGTTTATTCTGTCTTCCACACTGGCCAAGACAGATGCTTCAGAGAAAGCCATAAAAACCCAGGAAACATACTTAATTCACACTCTTGTACCATGGGAGACATATTACTGTTCCAACCCCAGCTGTTCATCCATCCTTGCCCTGAATATTCAACATTCATGTCCTCAAGGCAGCTTACAGATTCAAACTAATTAATTCCTCTTACTATAAGAGGGTTCCCTGCCCCCTTCTCCATCTGTGAGCTTCCGCACTGACTCCTTACTGCCACCTCATGCCTGGTTGACCTTATGCTTAAGGCCGTTTAAAACTCTTGCACCATCAGTCATTTATTGAGGACCAGGAAGAGTGTTGGGCACTGGGGAGAAAGGAATATCGAGATTTGGTTCCTTTCTGAGAGGAGTTCTAAGTCTACTAGAGTGTATTTATTCTGCTATAACACAGTTGCCTAAAAATGTGTTAGTCTCCCTTGCTAGACAAACATATCTGCAGATAACAATAATGTAGGGTATAAATATTGAAGTAGCACAGACGAACAGCACAGAAGAGTGGTTTCTCAGAGGTCACTACACATTTCCGTTTACATCTCATTGGCCAGAATTCAGCCTTATGACTTGATCTAGTTGTAAGGGAAGCTGGGGTATGTATTAATTTAATGGAGTGACAATGTGCCTGGAAACAAATTGTGGTTACAGTCCTAAGAAAGAAGGGGGGAATAAATTCTGGGAGACAATTAGCAATCTCTGTCACAGGAGGCACCAGTGATTTTTAATAAGGCAGTGGTATATTTAGATCTGTGGTTATGGGTCTCTCTGCTACCCCAAAGTATCATCAGTAGGGAAGGATGTGGGGCAGGGAAGGCAGGACAGCAAGGGAAGGGAAGGGAAGCAGCAACAATTGCCAGAGAATAACTAAAAGCCAAAATGTATTCATTAACTTTAACAACTAAGAGGACGTTGTCGGTAATCTTTGAGAAAGCTGTTTTATAAGAGTGATAAGGTGGACACAACGACCCATGATGACAAAATTACCATTATTTTTGTTCCTTTTGTTGATTAAGGAACTAGCAGTGTATTTGGGGAGAGACAGAAGACTGCAAAAATTGTAAAGAAATCATTGTGTCGAGTGTTAAAGGATACAAAAAGTGTGGAGTACAGAGGAGGGAGTTATTGAGTCTGACTTGAAGGAGAGCAGCAGAGGAGAAACTGGCAAACGAAAGCTACCCCAACAAACAGACACAGGCAAAGGGCACTTGGCCTCAGGAGAAACGCTATTTTGTTGCTGCTTTTTAAGTATTTCCAAGGCCAGATATGGAGTATTCTCCATATTTGCAAATTTTTTCTGTTCCGGCCATTCTTCTCATTTACTCTCTCCATTCATCCAATTAACTTCACACAGGCATTTATTCTATCAACTCCATGAGGGCGGAGGCTTTGTCTTCTTCAGCACATCTTCCATGCCTACAACAGTGCCTGTCATTGGTAGTTGCCCTAAGTGCACTAATCTAAGGCAGAAAGGCTAATTGGGGCTTTTAGCTCCTGCTTTTCACCATTTCCACCAGGGCACATAGGTCTACGCAGTCTCACTCTGAACAAACCAGACGTAACCAGAGTCAGCAGCTCTTTCTCCCGGGAGCCACCGGCTCCTACGCAGAGCTGCGGAACCGCTACAGCGGCGGCATCCTGAAGCAGCCGGAACATAGGCGTGGCGGAACCTGAAGGAAGCCGTATCTGGAGGTGGTGGAACCAAACTGCGGCGCCCACGAAGCCACCCGGACTCTGTTTGGAACGGAAGCGTAGTGGCCGCCGCTTCCTGGTTGCGGGTCGGCGCCGAGGGCCGGGCTTAGCCGCAGCGATGTTGCCCTACACGGTGAATTTTAAGGTGTCGGCGCGCACCCTCACCGGGGCCCTCAGTGCCCACAACAAGGCGGCGGTGGACTGGTGAGGGCGCGGGGCTCCGAGGCCGCCAGGCTCGGCCAGGAGTTTGTGAGGGGAAGGGGACAAAACAAGAGGTTTCACCGCCCCGACCCCCCCCCCCCC